GCGGGGGCTGGGACTGAGCAGAGCAGCGTGGACTGATGGCACTGGTCAGGCCAGGCCCCGGCGCCGGCGGGGGAGCGGTGCGTTCTCTTCTCTCACGCGCCCACCTCGTGCCCAATACGTGCCACCGGCCGCTCCCATCAGCGCGCTGCTCTGCAGACCGCGCGGTCCGGCGCAGCTCAGCGCCCGCAGACCGGGACTGGGATGCCCGAGCTTGCCAGCTGAACTGGGCGGCGTTTGATGGACTTTGCGCCGGAATGCATGGTGGAATGGCTTTAATTTCTTTATTATGTGTATGACCTGGTGGAATCAGGCGCTCTGTTGCCGTAGCTTAGCTGCGTGCTCTGCGCTGAGAGGAGACAAACATGATGAAAACAATTGAGCTAGGATTAGCGTGACATTTATCATGACCGTAGAAACGATGTGAGCCTGCGTTCGAAGCCTGAATCCGAGTTTGATTTGTGGCGTTTCTGAGAAAACGACGCTGACTTTAAACGAGGCGGAGTCTGAGCTCTAGCATGTCGAAGCTGAGTACTTTCCTATGATAAGCCCATCACAGGTCGTGCAAATGCAACGGAGAACGGGAAAAGCGCAGCAACAGTGGCAAGACCAAGAGTGGAAGAGACGTCCTGAACACACGCTTTGTACGGACATGCCGCTTGGCGCCAGAGCGGCGGGTTCTTTGCCCGACCAGAGAGGGGCGGACACCTGGGGTCGACTGGACGCGGCAGTGCGTGGGCCGGGTCGAGCCACAGCAGCAAACCCTCCGGACCAGAGCGACGGGGACCCCGCCTCGTGGGGTTAAGTCGTGGCCCCGCGCTGAGGGCCGTCTCCGGAGGCCGTTCCATTGGCGGCGACAGGCATGCGGGCGGCTCCCGCGGCACGGTCGGCTTTGGACAGCCCGCACCGCCCGTCGGCGGGACGACCGCAGCAGGCCCGGCCGCGTTAGGGCCGCCGTGTCGCAGTGTGCGCCGTCGAGGCCGGCCGGGGAGGAGGGCAACCACGGGACAGCCTGACGACGTGCGCGACGACGGGAATTATAGAAAAGAACAGCGCTGAATGTCCTTCTATTCGTCTGGGGTGGTTCTCACCACATCGTCTCTACGCAGACTTAAGCGTGACTGGTGCCCGGCTGCCGGACGCGAGTGGTGCCTGTGCGTCAGCCTTCAGTGGTGCCCGGAGGTCGGGCGTGACTGGTGCCCGGCTGCCGGACGCGAGTGGTGCCTGTGCGTCAGCCTTCAGTGGTGCCCGGCTGCCAGACGCGAGTGGTGCTTGTGCGTCCGCCTTCAGTGGTGCCCGGAGGTCGGGCGTGATTAGCACCCGGACTGTTGCCTGTTTGTGTAACAGCTGCGGTCTGTTAGTCCTAATGTCCGGTAATGGCCATCAGCTGTGAAGTGCAGCCACAGCTGAGAAGTGACACTTGTCTCCCGCTGGCTGTGCGACCCGACCCTGGTCCCTTCGCTGAACTCGTCGGGGCTGTCGGCCTCCGCACTGAGTTTGAGGCACGCGTATCCTTGGCCCCGAACTGTCCCGACTCCCGTCCGCTGAGCTCTGGACCGTTCCGTCCCCTGAGCTCTGGACCGTCCCATTTACGAGCTCTGGACCGTGCCGTCCTTGCCGTGCCGTGCCGTCCCCTGAGCTCTGGACCGTGCCGTCCCCTGAGCTCTGGACCGTGCCGTCCCCTGAGCTCTGGACAGCCCCGTCCGCTGAGCTGTGGATCGTCCCGTCCGCTGAGCTCTGGACCGTCCCGTCCGCCGAACTCTGGACCGTCCCGTCCGCCAAGCTGTGGACCGTGCCGTCCGCTGAGCTCTGGACCGTGCCGTCCGCTGAGCTCTGGACCGTGCCGTCCGCTGAGCTGTGGACCGTTCCGTCCGCTGAGCTCTGGACCGTCCCGTCCGCTGAACTCTGGACCGTGCCGTCCGCTGAGCTCTGGACCGTGCCGTCCGCTGAGCTCTGGACCGTGCCGCCCGCTGAACTCTGGACCGTCCCGTCCGCTGAGCTCTGGACCGTCCCGACCGCTGAGCTCTGGACCGTGCCGTCCGCTGAGCTCTGGACCGTCCCGTCCGCTGAGCTCTGGACCGTCCCGTCCGCTGAGCTCTGGACCGTTCCGTCCGCTGAGCTCTAGGCCTTCAGGCCGTCGCGTCTCCTGCGCTTAAAGTCATGCTGCAAGGGTGAAGTTCCCTATTCAGTTGGGTAAGGGTGGGAGGTCCGGTCCCATCTGGGACTCCAGTCCACTCAACTTTTAAAGAAAAGTGGGCCAAATCCGGAGAGAAACCGTTTATTGGTGAACTCAAGGGATATGTTTCACAATTTTTCATCTTTCAGCCCTCCCCCAACCGCCTTTCCGAAACTGCGCCCCTGTCATGCCGTGTCCTGTCCCCAGCTGGGCCGCCGCAGCGAGGTGCCGGGTATTATGGCTTACGATGACGTAACCCGAAGGTCGTGGATATGACTGGCAAACACCAGAGCGCTCGGAAACGACCTCCAGGCGGCGGGCGACCGAGTCAAGTGGCATGGGCGCGTTGGAGTGGTGTGTTGACGGCGGTTGTTCGGTGTTCGGATGTTGACCCTCTGACGGGGCCAACGCCGACAATCACCTTCCCAAACTTTGCCAAATCACCACCAAGCACTCACCACATTGCCAAACAAGCGATGGTAGAAGCCTATATGTGGTGGCAAGAAGCCGTCGTGTCTGCTTATGTAATGTCCGGCAGTCGACAGCATGAATGTGCCGCATGGAGGGACCAAAAAGTCTGGTGTCACGAGAGGTTTTTAATTCAGTGTTGGCGTGACGCGTCCAGCGGCTAACGCGCATTTTTGTCCGCCGCGCGATAAGAGTGGATGATATTTTTGTAACCATTAGGGCTCTACGATGCATGTCGCCAGGGATTGGGCTGGAGCGGAACTCCCCCCCCCCCCCCCAACTTGTTCGCCAAATGAATGATTTCCATCGTCCTTGTTGGAACACACGACGTAGTAGATTCAGATCGTTCTTCCAGATTCTGGGCTACCTTATCAGCTCCCGAAACGTAACTAAACCAACGGCAGGCACCCGGCTGATCCTGTTCAGATGTCGCTAGTAATGGCAGTGCGACACCTCGTCCAACACAAACATTTGGAAACGCTGATCTGACGATAGTGCGTGCGCGACTTCATGGTGTCGGCACCAAGGACTGAGAGTCTTTGTCAAGTCCTTGGCGCCAGGTCCAATGGATCCGTCATGCCAGACAATGACCGTGATTTATTTGTTTCTCGGCGGCATAAGCTTTTCCCCTGATGCGCTATTTTACAAGCAGAAGCAAAGCCATTCTCCGATACGATGAGTTCACACCCTATAGCAATCCGCGGAGTTGATTTAGAGGGGTGTTTGAGCTCGTAAAAATAGCCCTCGTCAGTAATCTTGATATGGCAGTTGATATTACCAGGAGGACATCTGTACATCTTTCAGTTTTTCTTAAAGCTGTCCGTGAGCATAGGAACCAAAACTTCACATTCGATGCATTAGGGTGTTTGACCCAATAGCGAACTCTACCAGCTTTTAAATATCGAAATAGATTTTCGATTGCTCGAAAATATTGCATTGTCTACGTGCTACAAATCATGCGCATATTTAAGCATTTGAAAGTATTAGAAATGATCAAATAGGTATGACATACATGTATTGCAAATATAAGAGGTATTTACAAGCACTCAACATCTTAGCCCCGATGAATGAGTAGCTTCGACGTCGCTATGGTTTAGGGACAAGATCGACCGGAGGTGAATTTAAACAAACATTCGCAGTTCATAACGTCCAGTAGTCAAAAGGTCCAAAATGGCAGCAACCAGCATTCATAACCTTCGAAAATCGTCCATTGCCCCTGGACAGAGGAGAATTCCAACTTCCAAGGTCGCAGCATGAAACATCGCAACATCAGAAATTCATAGCATCCAGCGTTCACGATGTCCAAAAGTTGAAGAACAGTGCTGCCTCCTGCTAAATCTCAAACTGTTGGCAAGGATCTTACCACATAGAAGGAAGACCGTAGCCGAATTTGCCTTCCGACGAATGTCGAAATGTCGGCGAATGACGGATGCAGTGCAGTGCCGAGAGCGAGAGTGAGAGCGAACTATTTCTTACACATGCAGTGTTACACCGCTGATATGCCAGACACCAAACGTGAGGTTCATGCCTAAAAAAGTCGCGCACGGGAAAAGCGCTGAAATCGAAAGCTTTGCGATGCAGGATGCTTCGTGAGATTAAGGGAAGACGTCACAATCGCCACAAACCTATCCACTAACGATTGATTTGTGTTGAGAAGGGTCCTTTAAGTTGCGATATTTATACACGTTGCAAATAAATGAGTTATTTCCGGAAACGGCCTTCGACAATTGGCTTTCTCGTTGTTCCGATGCCTTGCAAATCCACAAAGCAGTTGAAAAGTCACGCAACGTTTTGTCTCAACTGGGGAATATTTATATCAGCACATGGTTGGCACGGTATGCGATTATTCCGAATAGGAACAACATATGATGTTCAAATATACCTACACAAATTTTCGAGTACCGAAACCAAACAGAACACTCATCAGGTACGTACTAGTGCAAACCACTGGGAGGCGACGCCCCAAACCACACCACACGCACTCTTCGTGAGCATGTAACGTTAACCACATGATGCCGCCTGCAAGGAACCGACTTGAGACAGAGGTTGGTCCTCCCATTTTCTGTAACGCTTCTGCTCCGCGGCCTCCGGTTCGCCATGTAACCGTCGTTGAGTTCTGCCGTGTCGGCCCGCAGCCATGCCCTAGTTCGGGATGGACATCGGTGTTGAGTTCTGCCGTGTCGGCCCGCAGCCATGCCCTGGTTCGGGATGGACATCGGTGTTGAGTTCTGCCGTGTCGGCCCGCAGCCATGCCCTGGTTCGGGATGGACATCGGTGTTGAGTTCTGCCGTGTCGGCCCGCAGCCATGCCCTGGTTCGGGATGGACATCGGTGTTGAGTTCTGCCGTGTCGGCCCGCAGCCATGCCCTGGTTCGGGATGGACATCGGCGGCACGCTCACCAAGATCGTGTACTTCGAGCCGACCGACACGTCGCCCGACGAGGAGGCCGAGGAAGTGGAGACGCTCAAGAACATCCGCCGCTACCTCACCAGCAACTCGGCCTACGGCTCGACCGGCCACCGCGACTCGCACCTCCAGGTAGGTGGGCGTGACCGCGGCGGCCAGCGCTGTTTCGCAGCATGCCGGCGCTGTGTCGTTCCGTGACGTCGCCTGGAACAATCGAGTCAGGCGCCCGGAACCCAGTGGCGTGTCGGTAGCAGCGCGGTCCACTCGCAGTACGCGCCACACCATGACCGGCCGCGTCGGAGTCACGCGAGACTTGCGCACGGCTGGGCGGGCCAGACTGCCGGCCGCTGTCGGGGGTGGGCTTCCGGCGCCGTCGGCCGCAGCCGGCGCAGCCGGTCTGGTCGGTCGGACCGCCGCAGCGACGCCCCCCCCCCCCCCCCCGCTCACACACACGCCGCGGCTGGTCGGCGCCTCCAGCAGCCGCCGCCGGACCCGTGACGTCGCGGTCGGAACTTTGGGGTCCGCGGCCTGTAGTGCACGCGTCTGGGGCCGCTCTTGGAACACCGCACGCTGGCTTCGTCCGGTAGCTGATGAGTCTGGCGGAGACTACACCGCGGTCAACACCACCGCGCCACATCTGGAGCTCAGAGGTCGGCTGTGACCAGCCCACCAAAGTCGGCTGTGGCTCGCAAGACGTCGCGACGGGCCCAGTCGGGCGCCCTTGCCTTTCCTCTGACGCGTGTCGGGTCCATGACCTATCGCAGAGGAGCGCGGGGTGTGATGGCGTCCGTCGCGCTGTGCTGGACTGCCTCCACCCGCTGGCTGCATTTCCGGCAAGGTGTGAAGCGAACTGCGCCGTTGTCAACCGGCGACTAACATTTGTGTCAAGATTATATCAACACTGATGGCTTGTGATTCCCGGTTAGCTGACGTTTACGTTAGACAACACCGAGTTTTAGTCCACCGATGAGAGGACTCGTGCTTCTACATGCACGTGGTAGAGGACAAGAGGGAGAGGGGAAGAACAAAACAGAAAGCTGCTTCCGCGTTACTATTTAATTTGGCACGTTTCCACGCGTGCAGTGCGTGTGCATAGAAACACCAAACACTCTGACCCTTGCATTATTTGTATATTTACTTTCCTTTAAACCATTTGCTCACGAACCGAAGACATCTGTATTGAGCAGTGTTGAAAAATAATTTGTTCTATATGAGCCTTAGTCAACTGCGATTTGTTGCCCTCGTATGGCTTATCGCATCCACCCTGTTAATCCAGCGAGTGGGGCGTGACGGCTTTGTCACAACATCTCACCGTTCTGTGTCCTATCCCCGTCTCCGCGCACCGCGTTCGCACGCGGTCCGGAGCGGCTCTGCAGCTGTCGCCCCTGTCTGACACCGACCTGCGGGCCGCAGATGAACAACGTGTACATCTGCGGGCGTCAGGGCACCCTGCACTTCATCCGCTTCCCGACCAGCGAGATGGGCAACTTTCTAGAGCTGGCCAAGTCCAAGGGCATGGCGACGCTGGCCTCCACCGTCTGCGCCACCGGCGGGGGCGCCTACAAGTTCGAGAAGGACTTCGACAAGGTGCCGACTCGCCAGGCATATGTCGGCCAGGCACCATGGCGGCACATCTAGAGCAAATCTGTCCTGCGCTGACGCTGTGAATGTATAGGCTGGAGAGTGGCGTATTAGTCATCGATGATACTTTCGAAACGTTCATAAGCAAATCCCAGATATATTTGCCTGTATCACCAGTATTCACACGATCTGTACGGACGCCGCCAGACTGTCGAGGGGGAGGGGGGGGGGGGCAGTGCCGAACACATTGAACTTTGGCTCCTGAGACCCGTGTTCATAGCATGCACATTGCGTAAATAAATCGCTGGCCGATCATCACTGAAACATGCTAAAAATATCACGGCACTTGTCAACCACGTGGCTGATTACAGGAGGTGAACATGCAGTTGCACAAATTCGACGAGCTCGACTCCCTCCTCAACGGCCTGCACTACATTGAGAACAACAACAGCCACGAGCTCTACTACTGGGAGAACTCGTGCGATGAGGCGCGCTGCCGCAAGGTCCCGTTCGACTTCAGCCAGCCGTACCCGTACCTGGTGCGTGTGGCGGGCCGACGCCGGGTCGCGGAGACCATGGGGTTGGTCCGTGTTTACACATCTGACGGACGTCTCGGCCGGCCGGGGCCGGCGCTGGCGCCCGTCCCCGGTCTGTGTCGCCGCCTGGTCGCGGCCCAACTAGCGGTGACTGTTCGGCTCTAGCTATGTTCAACGAGTACTGTCCTGGTGCTGTCTGCTGTCTGTCTGTCCTGGGGTTGCGGTATCGGCCCCTGCCTGTCCTGGGGTTGTGGTATAGGCCCCTGCCTGTCCTGGGGTTTCGGTATCGGCCCCTGTCTGTCCTGGGGTTGCGGTATCGGCCCCTGTCTGTCCTGGGGTTGCGGTATCGGCCCCTGTCTGTCCTGGGGTTGCGGTATCGGCCCCTGCCTGTCCTGGGGTTGCGGTATCGGCCCCTGTCTGTCCTGGGGTTGTGGTATAGGCCCCCTGTCTGTCCTGGGATGCGGTATCTGCTGCTGTCTGTCGTTGAGTTGCGGTGTCTTTCACTGTCTGTCCATGGCTTGTGTCTGCTGTTGTCTGTCTCAGGGTTGCGCTGTCTCCCACTATCTGTCTTAGGGTTAAGGTGTCTGCCGCTGTGTGTCCCAGGGTTGCAATGTCTGCCACCATCTGCGTCTCTTTCGCTGCCCTTTTGTGTACCGTCTTCGTCCTTGTGTTTTTGTTGTTGTTGTTGTTGTTGCTTCGTGGCGTTGGTCGCATGGTTTTGCGCGTAAGCCGTGACGCCATACCCAACACCATATCACCAGGTAGCGTGCATCGTTCCTGAAAGAGTGAAAAAACAGTAACCAAAACCATGCTGTGCCATCAGCTAGCTGTCAGCGAGGGTCGCGCGGAATCATTCTTGCATATCCCACTGTCGTTGCGCCGTATTTAGAATGCGGGGCCCTCCACTTAACGCCATGTGGCACGCAGGTGACCTCAGGCCAAACAGCAGGACCAGCAACAGTTGCACGGACAAACTAAGCACGTGATGACCTGATCACAAAGCCCGTGCTTTATGCTTACACATCTTAGTTTTACATTTGTATTCTTATCATATCTACGCCACTCGTCATACCCGGCCACCATCGGTCCACCTGCTCCCGAACACGCCGCGCGTTGGTCACCAGTGGTCACCACAGATGACGTCATTGATGTTGAACTGACGCGCTCCTCTCACCAGTGTGGGACAGCGGCAGCACAATCTCGTGCTGTGCAGTGTGCTTGGTCGGTGTACTTAATTTCGGTCTGCTGAGTAGCCCGATTATGTATTTGTTTTTTAACGCTTAACCTGTTGGATTCATTTAATTCATTTAATTATCTCATGAGGCTGCTGCATACACCGTTTCGCCTTTCCACGTGCCTTTCGGTCCCCTGTGCTTGCGTAGATGCCGCCAAATCTGTTGTTGGAAGCCTGCTCCTGTGCGGGTGCTCGGCTGTCGGCCCTGTCTGTGCCTTGGACATTGCGCCTATCACTGGCCCCGAGCAAACGCCTGCTCTGAGGCGGACGGGGTAGGCTGCCACGTCCGCGTGTCCACCAGCCAGTGCCGAATCGGCCTCAGTCCGGCGTCAGTGCGTCGCTCCCCGCTGACCTGCCGCGACGTCCGGTCACGTGCATCCCGTCCGGACTCGTCCCGGTCCGCGGCCGGCCGGCTGCGGACCGGCACTCCGGGCGCGGCCTCTGCTCCGCCCAGTTGGGATGCTGCCCCAGCCGACACAAAACCGGACCGTGTTTTTGTCGGACGTTTTTTTCCGGCATGGGGAACCGCTTCTGCCCGAGACATCGGACGTCGGATCGAGTTCGATTGGGCGATTATGTTGGGACCGGTCGCGCTGGTGTCGTTGGTGGAACCAGTTTGCTGTCTGTGTGGCGGGCCTGCGCGCCGAGCGGTGTCACGTGGTCGCCGGCCGGGTCACCCACGGCGGCGACACGGAATGTTTCGCTTAGGGCGAATTTCCGTACGTTGGCGTGGTGGTAACACGCTGTTTTTCGTTTCAGGTGGTGAACATTGGCTCTGGCGTCAGTATACTGGCTGTGTACGGACCAGATGAGTACAAACGTGTCTCAGGAACAAGGTAAATATGTGGTCACCTGCTTTGCAAGGTTAGGTTCTATAACGTTTTCAATTAAAGTATATCTATTCAATTTCTGTGTAGAGCTTGTGGAATATCATCTCTTCATGCGCGGCATAGCCATACTCATATACGTGTATGGGAGCATTCCACTGTAAAAAAACAAACACGAATATGACGTGCGTCGCCGTAGCGCCAAAACCAATATCAAAGGGCTGTGGATCGAAACGCGTATCAATGCACACACTTCCGCGTGCGGGCCCGCGGTGGAGATATAGCACACGCCCAGAGCAATGGAGATGGTCACCGTGGATCACTTAAAAGGTGGCGCCGAAGCGGTCGTCCAAACCCCGCTAGAGGGAGCGATTTTATGCTAAGGGGGAGTACTGAGCAGGGACGTGACATACGCACCTCCCCTATGTCACGGTGCCATCTTGAATCCACAGGTTCCTGTCCTATGGTGGTGGAATGACTCGGCTATCTCTCCGACCCAAGCTCACAGGTGACTGTTGAATCCGTGCCCACGTCACTGCTGAATCCTCTCCCACGTCACTGCTGAATCCTCTCCCACGTCACTGCTGAATCCTCTCCCACGTCACTGCTGAATCCGTGCCCACGCCACTGCTGAATCCGTGCCCACGTCACTGCTGAATCCGTGCCCACGTCACTGCTGAATCCTCTCCCACGCCACTGCTGAATCCGTGCCCACGTCACTGCTGAATCCTCTCCCACGCCACTGCTGAATCCGTGCCCACGCCACTGCTGAATCCTCTCCCACGTCACTGCTGAATCCGTGCCCACGCCACTGCTGAATCCTCTCCCACGTCACTGCTGAATCCGTGCCCACGTCACTGCTGAATCCTCTCCCACGTCACTGCTGAATCCGTGCCACGTCACTGCTGAATCCTCTCCCACGCCACTGCTGAATCCGTGCCCACGTCACTGCTGAATCCTCTCCCACGTCACTGCTGAATCCTCTCCCACGTCACTGCTGAATCCTCTCCCACGTCACTGCTGAATCCGTGCCCACGTCACTGCTGAATCCTCTCCCACGCCACTGCTGAATCCTCTCCCACGTCACTGCTGAATCCGTGCCCACGTCACTGCTGAATCCGTGCCCACGTCACTGCTGAATCCTCTCCCACGCCACTGCTGAATCCTCTCCCACGTCACTGCTGAATCCTCTCCCACGTCACTGCTGAATCCTCTCCCACGTCACTGCTGAATCCTCTCCCACGTCACTGCTGAATCCTCTCCCACGTCACTGCTGAATCCGTGCCCACGTCACTGCTGAATCCTCTCCCACGTCACTGCTGAATCCGTGCCCACGTCACTTGCTGAATCCTCTCCCCCCACTGCTGAATCCTCTCCCACGTCACTGCTGAATCCGTGCCCACGTCACTGCTGAATCCGTGCCCACGTCACGGCTGAAATCCTCTCCCACGCCACTGCTGAATCCGTGCCACGTCACTGCTGATCCTCTCCCACGCCACGGCTGAATCCTCTCCCACGTCACTGCTGAATCCGTGCCCCCGCCACTGCTGAATCCGTGCCCACGCCACTGCTGAATCCTGAATAAATATGATGCTGAATAAATCTGAGATGGGGACATGTCCCCACCTCAGACCCTGTCCCCGGCCTTGTTCCCGTTCCTGTCCCTGTCTGTGTGGCCAGGCTGTGGTCCGTGTGCCGCCTGACTCGGTGGGCGCGGCGAGTAGGACGCCGTGTAAACACCGCCTCCGCCGCCCGCGTGGACACGCTCTCTGCGTCCCACTGGCCACTGGCCTGGCCGGCCGGCCGCGGCTGTGACGCACGGCCGGCGGTGGCCCAGCTGTCCAGCTGAACCCGCCGACCTGGTGACCAGCCCCGAGTCTGGCGTCGGCCAGAGCCCCGCGTCCGCGCGTCCGGCCGTGACCGGCTCGGTCGCCAGAGCGGTGCCGGTGGCTCGGCGGCGCGTGTGGCGCTTACGATACGTACCGGGCCGCCGGTGGGGCGTCCCGCGAGTGGGCCGCCGCCGCACCCCTGTCCAGCCGCCCGGCGGCTGTCACGCGCACTGGCAGTGTGGACTGGCGCTGCCGGGGTGGGTGCGCCGAGCGCCATCTGGGCCGCAGCCACCTGGCGGGTGCGTCGGCCGCGCGGCCGGCGCCGAACCACCGCCTGGCCATTACAGACAATTCCGGACCATCGCGGACCAACCCGGGCCACCGTGGACCAACCCGGACCACCGCTGACTAACACGGACCACCGCAGACCAACCCGGACCGCCGCGGACCAACCCGGGCCACCGCGGACCAACCCGGACCACCGCTGACTAGCACGGACCACCGCGGACCAACCCGGACTGCCGTGGACCAACGCGGACCGCCGCGGACCAACCCGGACCACCGCTGACTAACACGGACCACCGCAGGCCAACCCGGACCGCCGCGGACCACCGCTGACTAACACAGACCACCGCGGTCCAACCCGGACCGCCGCGGACCAACCCGGACCACCGCTGACTAACACGGACCGCCGCAGACCAACCCGGACCGCCGCGGACCAACGCGGACCACCGCTGACCAACCCTGACTGCCGTGGACCACCACAGACCACTACAGATCACCCCGGACCACCAAAGACCACCCCGTACCACCGTGGATCAACCTGGACCAACCTGAGTCACCACAGATCACTGCAGACGTCCCCGTACCACCCCGTACCCCGGACCCCCACCCTGGACCACCACCATCACAGGTGGTACATGTAGTTCCCTTCACTCCCACCAGGGGATCACGGTTCGCGAAATATCCCGGGCGGCGGCCGGTTAATACCATTGATCCAAATGGCCTCAACGGGATGAATGGGCTCCGACCAAATCTCACCTAATTTGATTCAAGCAAAGCAGTTTTTGTTCCGTACATTTGTGCTGCCTTGCGTTTGATGAATGATGACGCATGCCTGGTGTTTTAGTGTCTGCACGTCACGTTCGTTAGCAACGGAAAACCGCGCTTCTTTTATACCGCAAAATCCTGGGAGGAAATGGACTGCTACACATGCATTTGTTTATCAATCAACTCCTGTGTGTGATGTTAACGAGTTCATAGTGTTCGTAGCATGTGGGATAGATATCGCCGGTAACCTAACCAACACACTTAAGGTTATTGACTATATATATATATATATATATATATATATATATATATATTCGTCTTATTGAAAATGAAAGATTATCTGACATTGACGTCCCCTTTAGATGAAGATTTAATTCTGGAATTAACCTCTTCCCATCATCGGAAAAACTGTGATGAAAGGTGCCTATATAATTTTGTAGCGTTTCATCGGTCTTGTCAACAACATCATACATCATACAGCATATGCGCAACTGCACATCTCAACAATGTACGAAACATGCGTGGTCATTGACATTGGGGTCTTTATCTAAAAAGAAGATCGATGTCAGATAACGCTGTCATCTTCAATGAAACATGCTTCGAGGAAAACCCGCTCCACGACTTCACACACACACACACACCCACACACATACATTTTTATGAAGGAGCTAACCATGAACATTATAAGTGACCGGTGTCCATCATCTACTCCTTTATCGCGAATGAAATCGGGCTAGAAGACCCCAGCCGTCATTCACAGAAGTGCTGCACAAAGTTTTCGGCCCTACTCTCTGGGGTCTTGACGTGCCCGGTTTATCGCGGCCTCGGAAGTGGATTACGCTGGCGCTTAGCACTTGACACCACTTTATGACGTTAAGAGCTCACCATTAAGGGGGACCACAGAGCCCGTCACACGCAGCCCATCACCACCGCTGGCATCCTGCGGCGCGCGGCTGTCCCTGAAAGAGCGCGACGGCTGAGCGGCCTGTCGCCGCCGGCGCGCGGATGTCCCTGAAGGAGCGCGACGGCTGAGCGGCCTGCCGCCGCCGGCGCGCGGCTGTCCCTGAAGGAGTGCGACGGCTGAGCGGCCTGCCGCCGCCTGCGCGCGGCTGTCCCTGAAGGAGCGCGACGGCTGAGCGGCCTGTCGGCGCCGGCGCGCGGCTGTCCCTGAAGGAGCGCGACGGCTGAGCGGCCTGCCGCCGCCGGCCGTTTGCGGGGCGGCGGGTCTGTCCGTGCACCAACCTGCGGCCCCGCGTGTCGCCAGCCTGGGCGGCGGGACCTTCCTCGGGCTGTGCTGCCTGCTGACCGGCTGCAGCACGTTCGAGGAGGCCATCGAGCTGGCCGCCCGCGGCGACAGCTTCCGGGTGGACAAGCTGGTCAAGGATATCTACGGCGGCGACTACGAACGCTTCGCCCTCAGTGGGGACACCGTGGCGTCCAGGTGACAGGCGGGCTCTCATCGACCGAGCCGCTTTGCATACGGCCACTGTACTTCTAGTTTGGAGGATGTGGCCGGTATATTGACACTGGGCTATTGATGATGCAGCACAACGTGTCAGCGGTCCTCGAACGCTTCCGTGGTGGAGCTAATAGATATAAACAGTCGCATACTGGCCGGTGCTGCGTAAGTCTTCATGCGCCATTGGGGCGCGTTGCGCACATGGAAACGTCCCGGATACATTTCTGCTTTTTTTAGCGTGCTCTAGAAAGGTGGTGTGAAGAGTTGGTCGTTTTCTGCTGTTGCGTTAAAAGCTTACGCAGTTCCGTTGGCTCTGTAGTCGATTTGTAACCACCGGTAACTTGTAATTTGTAACTTTCGCCTGCCCCCTCCCACCCCGCTGCGCCCCGGGCAGCCGCTGACCGGCTGCCACGCCGCCAGCTTCGGCCACATGCACGTGCTGCAGCGACGGAAGGCGGTGAACAAGTGTGACCTGGCGCGCGCCACCCTCGCCACCATCACCAACAACATCGGCTCGATCGCGCGCATGTGCGCTCTCAACGAGCGCATCGAACGGGTGAGCGGCGGCGGGCACTGAGGCGTGCCGGCCTGTTCACCGGGAGGGGTGCAGTGAGCTGACACGGGGGCTGCGCTGGTGAGCCGCGGGGAAGGGCGGAACCACCGCACCGGCATGGCACACTGGCCTGCCCACCGGGAGGAGGGCAACGAGCCGACGCGAGGGACGGTGCAGATGAACTGCGGGAAAGGGCGGAGCCACCGCACGGGCACGGCACACTGGCCCATCCACCGGGAGGGGAGGAGGAAGGGGGGGGGGGGGGCAGCGAGCCGACGCGAGGGACGGCTCTGGTGAGCCGCGGGGAAGGTTGGAGTCGCGGCATCGGCACGACACACCGGCCTGTAGCACATGACCCAAGTAGAGGGTCGCTTCAGTGATGACGTGAAATGGCCTCATCATGGATGTTTGCTTTATTAGAAATGTTGAGCGTGACCTCTCATCGCAGTGTCACTCAAACAAACGGCGGAAACCATTACAGTAAGGTCACATTCCGCATGGCGTGCTTCATGTCTCAAAATGCGTTGGGCGTAACGAGGTCCGGTGCCAACGCACTGAGATACAAAACCACCACTGTATTAACATTGGAATGTGGTGGGAATGCTTCTCTCAGGAGAAGCTAGTTTCCATTCCTTTTATTGTGATTGCTGCAGGAATATTGGAACGGGGCCAATGGTATTAGCGGCGGGCGGCGCTGTAGAGCGAGGAACGTTAACGGCAACTAACCTACAATTTAGTAGTTGCAGCTGCCCGATCCGTCCGGTCCCGTACAGTGACGCTTCTGGCGGGCTTTTTCGGCAACAAGCAGCAGAACTTTTCAGAAGTTCGGCAGTGATATTGTCAAAATACTTAAACACAAGATGTTTGAACAGACAGCGTATTTCTGCAACTTAACAATATCGCCACCATTTCGCCATCTCATCCAGTAAACACGGGAAACGTAACATTTCCGAAAGGCAAAATACGCTGAAAAACACGGAATGAGTCGGGTCCTGCGATTAACGTATCCCGACAGAGGAGAAAACGGACCATCTCTGAGGCGGCGGTGTGAGCCGATGTGTACAGACGGTCACGCGCGGACGGCCACGCGCTTTCACTCGCAAGCCACGGACCGGTTTGTTTTTAAGCGTTATTGAGGATTTATAGCAAATCTCGGCAGGCAGAACAGATGATGTGGGTTGCATTGCACGGCGCAGAGGTACATGCCAGCTATCACCAACTGTCATCCACAATATGCGGCTTTTCATGGCAAAAGTCGCGTATGCTTCAATGAAAGGTGAAAACCATTTACACTGTCAGTTACCATCCGCAGAGCTTACAAGTCTGAACTGAATCGCGAAGTGTTTTTGGCCGTTCTAGATACGCTTTCGCACGCGGCGCAATGCGCTGGCTGCGGCGCCTCTGACGTTTTCTGGAGCACTGGTCCATTCGGCGATCGCGCGGAAACAAAAGGAACGCCGGCCGTGATCAGCTCGCGCGCGGGATGCGCTGAGGAGTCGAGCGCTCGATGTCCGGTACCCCCGGACGGCACGTCAGCACTGCGTCCGATGCGGCGTCTGAAGCCGACATACGCGTGTACGCTGTGTAAAAGGTGGCGCTGCGTTTATATCTATACCGTTCAGCTGGAGGAGCTGCTCTACCTTTGGGCCCCTTCGTTGGCCACTCCAGGACAGACGTGATGTGGTCATGTCGTCGACGACATTTTACAACTGAGTCAGTCATCAGTCGGCTGATTATCTTCCCAACGCGCGTATGCTGGGTCGCATTTCAAACACCTAAAGCTGTTTCGCAGTGTACAATGTGAGATAGTACGGGAAATGTAAGATGGTACGAGAGCGTCTATCAAACATGTTTTCACCACCCCTGAGCGCCAGGAGTATAACCACGTCTCGGGGTGGCGAGACAAATCACGATTGGTGGAGTCAAACTGGAAGCTGCGGGACAACCTCATCTCAAAATGCTGTCTTATTGAAAGACGTGAAAAACGTACATTGTATGGACAAGATAGGAGGAGACAAAATCCCGTTTTGGGAAAATTGGAAGATAAGTTCTCCCCGTCCGTCAATAGTTACACACGTACCACGGCTAGCTGGGTGCTAATTTGGACGAGCCCACCAAAGTTGCTGAAATGTGCCACACCAGGGTTGAAATATGAGCTCTCAAACTTTGAATATTTGCCCACAACTACGCCGAGAATTTTAGCAATGGGCGAGGGATGAAATGTCGCGTCATCTGGACGAGCTGCGCCATGTGAGGCGAAGGTCCTCTATCGCGGTACGACTAAGATAATGTCATTTTTGTGATATTTATATTATAAGCATTTTGAATAAACCACGGCTGAGCCTCGGTCAGGCTGGACCCACTGGAGCCTCGGTCAGGCTGGACCCACTGGAGCCTCGGTCAGGCTGGACCCGCTGGAGCCTCGCTCAGGCTGGACCCGCTGGAGCCTCGCTCAGGCTGGACCCACTGGAGCCTCGCTCAGGCTGGACCCACTGGAGCCTCGGTCAGGCTGGACCCACTGGAACCTCGGTCAGGCTGGCCCACTGGAGCCTCGGTCAGGCTGGCCCACTGGAGCCTCGGTCAGGCTGGACCCACTGGAGCCTCGGTCAGGCTGGACCCACTGGGGCCTCGCTCAGGCTGGACCCGCTGGAGCCTCGGTCAGGCTGGACCCGCTGGAGCCTCGCTCAGGCTGGACCCGCTGGAGCCTCGCTCAGGCTGGACCCACTGGAGCCTCGGTCAGGCTGGCCCACTGGAGCCTCGGTCAGGCTGGACCCACTGGAGCCTCGCTCAGGCTGGACCCACTGGAGCCTCGGTCAGGCTGGACCCACTGGAGCCTCGTTCAGGCTTTACCCACTGGAGCCTCGGTCAGGCTGGACCCACTGGAACCTCGGTCAGGCTGGCCCACTGGAGCCTCGGTCAGGCTGGACCCACTGGAGCCTCGGTTAGGCTGGACCCACTGCTGTCCTGAAGGTGTCCCACGCTACTAGGATCGTCACAGTGAAGGCATTGCGCTTCGTTTGCATAAATGTCATCCTGGTTTTATTTTGAGAGACGATGTCAAGTTATTAGTAAAAATCAAAAGAGAAAAGCACCCGAAATGAACCCTCGGACAATGCCGTTAATGTTTTGGACAGTTTAAATGTGCCACCAACCATTTGTCAATGATCATCAAGCTACTTCGTAAACCAGTTGTCGTCCATCCCGTGCGAGCAGAGCTTCCCATAATCTGACCATGCTGGACGCTGTCAAACGCTTTCAAACGCTCTGGACGTATCGGCGGCTGTAAAACGCCTGTGTCGGTTGTGACGGTTGCTGCCGGGGCTGTTCGACAGCATCCACCATGGCCGACTGCGTGGATCGATTGGGCCGGAAAGGCTGCTGCCGGCTGCGCGTTATGCCATCGGACACGAGGGAATGGACAAACTGGCTACAACTCGCTAGCGAATACGAAAATTGTGCGACCCATAGGCCCACCCAGCGGCGGCGTCACGGATTTTGAGTTTGGGGAGGGCAGGAGAGGGCACTTTCTAGGGAGCTACCGGCCAAATGGGGCTTCCTCACAGGGGGATCTCCTGCGCAGTGTCGCATTCAAGGGGGGGGGGGGGTGAAGGGCACCGATGGCAAGCGCCCCCTTACCAAACTGCTAAGGTGTCATGTCCAAGTAAATAAATATGGGCATTTAAAAGATAAGGATGGGCCTTCGAATTATCCATGAAAGGGCACCGCCAACCTAAAACAGAGCCTCCTGTTCTATAAAGGGGCCTTCCGAGGCATAAAGGGGCCTACTCATTCAGAACAGAATGTTTGTGACTAAGGAAGGGGCCTCCTAATCTAGTCCAAGGGCCTCGTAGTCGCAAACCGTAACGACCTGATCCGGAACTGTGGTGATCTGATGCATGACAGGGGCCTCATGTTTCAGAAATTTGTAACGAGGCCTCCCTAGCCAGCAAGGGGGCCTCCTTAACGCAACATTGTGCCTCCTCATCCAGGGTATCGCCTACATCGTTCACTAAGGTGACCCCATGATCCAGAAAACGGGCTCTTGACGTGCAAAGGGCCTCCTGAGTGCGATGTATTACTATCTAGCTCAGTTATGGCGGCCTCCTGGATCTAAATTTTGGTACTCTACGGGTAGCTGCAATGTCTTTAGCTTGGGAAAAAAGGGCCTCCAAAAATTTGACTGCGGAAAGGAAGCACACTTATGGCTTCCTGCCAGGCGCCAGGGGGCAAGGGCCAGCTTTAGCGCTTTTCTACTATTACTATTCCCTCTGCTAGCCCCTACCCTCCCTGCTTCCCACCTGGCTGCGCCGCTCCTGGGTTTACCAGTAGTGGACCGAAGAACGACCTGTGTCGCCGTTTTCCGAAGCCGATTTCGAACACAAGACGCTGACCTAAACCGAAAGAGATTGGCCCATCAAAGCCGTAGAGATGCTTAGCCCGCTTTATTGCCGTCAACACCCGCCCGAGATAGTTGCGTTTTCTGCTTTACATTGGTGACCATCGCAAAAGTCACAGATTATTGCAAACACTCCGTTGTCCTCGATTAAAATTGCCGAGCTTTCTGCCCTCCGTTTCCTTTAATGTGAGCCGGCCGAGATAGCGCGTAATGGCCGGATGGTTAGCGTGATCGTCTCCCACGGGGTGGGGGGTGGGGTGGGGGGGGGGGGGGGGCGGCGGGGAGGATGGTACTCCGGTTGGACAATGGCCCTTGAGCGCTAATATGGCCTCAGCAGTCGCTGGCGCTCAGTACAAGGGTGCGCGTTGGCGTACGCCGCTTTCTTTTTAAGAAGTTTGCTGGAATGTTGACTCGCATGGCTGGTTCATAGCCAGCCACTTTCCAAGATAAATGTTTATAAATGGGTTCTCGCGTGCTGTATCGGGAGATCTCCGCCTGTAACATTCATAAAGGATGTTTCCAACGCATTGATTAAAGCTTCTGTTGTTGTTTTCCGAAGGTGTCTGAATTCATCAGCTTGGTTTTTGTCGTCACCTACATAACATACTTAAGCACAGCTGGCAACCGCCACATCTGCTACTGCCTTGCGGGTCCCGCGCCGCGCATGGACACCGCACTGTTCGTGGTAAAAAGGGACATGGCGATAAAATAATGTCATTATTAGAGATCATGGTAAGATAATATAAGGTGACATTAAGATAACAAACATCAGCATAATGTATGTGTACAGTGCTAGAAGTAGTTTTCTCCGCAAGGCAGCACCGGCATCTAGCACTGCTTAAACCTGATTTTGAAACGGGCTGATCTCTTTCAGGTCATCTTCATGGGAAACTTCCTCCGTGTCAATGAAATATCGATGAAACTCCTCTCGTTCGCTATGGACTTCTGGTCATCCGGCCAGATGAAAGCCCTCTTCCTGGAGCACGAGGTACGATGGTCTAATACTGCGCATCCCTAGTATGATTGCTAGCTTTCGGCGAGGCCATTGGCTAATTGGCTGCTCTTTGAAATGATATCTTATGGATTGGGGCCGCCACCAGACTGAGTCAGTCATTTGGAGAGCTCTGGTGCCGCCCATCACAACTGCTGTCCCAAGTTTGCGTCATATCACCGAGTTCGTTTGATGAAAGCGATTAGATGTCTCCTTGGAATGTTGTCATTTTGACGCGCCGTAAGGACGGCTCGATGGTTGACAAAATTCCAGCGTTGGGCGGTCTTTGAATAAACTTCCTGTCTTTCAAAGCATGTGGCGTCACAGGAACTTTCAGGAACCATTGTGCGCCGTCTGGAATGCTTGTGTTCATCGCCGAGCCGTGTGTGCATGATAACCATCCAGGACATGTTAAGATTATTTAAATTTGTCCCTTGACACTTGCAACTCATGTAACGCGTGCTGTTATGGCTACTTGTCTGTTCACACGTCGCCTTCCCAGTCATGAACAATAAGACCCTCGTCTAATTACCCAATCCGCCTTCAACTGCCACTTCGGCAACAAAGCCGTGCATTGGGCGCCTCGCAGATGTCTGCCGCACGCGGAGCTCCGCCGGACGCCTCCATCCGGGCGCGTTATATAGTGGCTCGTTAATTTGAGCCCGGGCGGCGCGTTCCGCCGTGGCCCGGCAGTCGGCCGGCGCCGGTCACCAGGGGCCGGCCGCACATTGCAGGGCTATTTCGGCGCCGTCGGCTGTCTGCTGGAGCTCATGAAAACCCGCCAGGAGTGATCCGGCCGGCTCGTTCAGGCGGGAGCGCGACCACCGCCGCCCGCCGCGCCGCCGCGCCGTCGCCGCCCGCCCGTTCGCCTCCTGTCAGTGGCAGTCGCCAATTTGTGCAGAGAATGATGGCCCCATTTCGGCCAGAGCCAAAGGTCGGCGGTAGTCGGACGCTACGGCACCCGTCGGCTTCGTCAGGGCCGCGGAGTCCGACGGACCCGGCTCGGCCTCAGCGTCTGGCGCCGGTCGGTCGGTGGGAGCCGCACCGATGCTGTGCCGCGGCCCGTGACGCGGCGTCGCGGCCGGCTCCCCCGGGCCCTGGCGACTCGCCGTCGACCTGAGCGGACATGGTGTCCCCGAGGAACGCTCCGAAGCTGGCGGCCGCCCTGCAGCGCGGTAACGGGGGCAGCAACGCCTCCGGGGATCCAGCGGCGCCGCGCAGGCTGCTGTCCAGGAGCAGGGACCACCGGGGCGGACGGCGAGGTCGCACTTCACCGCGGCCGTCGGCGTCAGGGCGTGCTTCGGCGGACGCGTGGACTGACTCAGCACCGACTCGCCAGTCGGAAACCGTGACCTACGCGTGTGAGCCGCTGTCGACGCACAGGGCGGCACCGGACCGCCAAACCCTTCCATCCAGTCGCCCCCGCTGCTGGTCACCGGGGGGGGGGGGGGCTCTCGTCAGTGCCGCTCACGTGCGGCGCCTGTGCGCCCGACGGAATGCGTGTGTGAACGTGTCGGCGCGTGTTCATAACCGTACTGCGGCTCGCTGTTGTTACCCAGCTAGTGCATGTGACCGTGTCGTCTTCCCAGCCCTCGACGTGTGCCGCGCGTTTGTCATGCCCCGACCGCCGCGGTCCTTTTGTAGATCCCCGTCCGTTGTGGATCGTGAGTGCGGTCCAAGGTTCGTCTCAGGGGCTCATCGATGTGTCGGCGTTCATCACGCAGGCGCATACTGGCGCTGCTCCCGGTGGTACCGCTCGGTTCTGGGGCCGTCCGGTATCCCGTGGGCTTGACAGCGGGCGGCCCCTGCAAGCCGCTGGCTGGAGACCTGCACAGGCGGGCGTGACTGTGTCAGGTTACCGGACGGGGCTGATACATGGGCTCAGGCTCACCCAAGGGCGCGATAACTGGGCGGGCGGAGTTGTCTCCTAAATTCGGAAAAGGCCGGGTCTCGTTGGCCGCGTGGAGCTGCGCGGTAAACAAATCGGTTCGAAAATACTCCTGCTTCCTGACATGTTGTAGGTCTTCGTGTCCCAGGAACCCTCTGTCGGTATGACATTCCAGTCGTGCGGAAGCGTCCGCCTGCTGACTGGAGGCTCGGCCACGGCGAGGGCCAGTGAATCAAAATAAGCTTGTAGGGAGCCACCGCTCTGCCTTGGAAGACGCCGGCCTGGTCTGGAGACAGAATGTCACGTCCGCTCCATTTACTGTACAAACAGTCGACGGCTGAAGCCACCGAGTGGTTTGGTGGAGTATTTCTCCAGCAGAACTTCAGGCTCCAGCGCGATAGCCGGGCTACTGACCTGCTGGTGCGTGTGGCCCACTGTTCGAGGCCGCAGGGCTCGCGAGACTGGCGCCGCGAGAGGCGTCGCCAGTCCGTCGCACCCGCTGAACGGGCGCGGCCGAGCCCGAGCTCGACTCGGCCCGGTTCGGCGGCGCTGGCAGATTCTGCCTAACGGGGTCTGCCCTCGACGGTCAGGTGGCCGTGTGGGAGACCCGGTCCTGTCGTGAACCGGGTCACGCCACACTCGCACGGTCTCACCGGTCCGCGCCGGTCCGACGCTGCCGGAACGTCATGTCGCACACACCCCTGGGCCGCCGCCGGGTGCTGCTGTTTTGCCTCGCGCTCCTGTCTGGGACTCTTGCCTGCTGCTGACGTAGTCTATTTGTCCCCGCCCTTCATTTGCCGGTCGACCTCCCAGTGTGCCTAGCCATGTCTTTCGCCGGGCCCGTTCCTGACTTTCCGTCTCGCTCTCCCGGCCTTGGGACTGGGGCCTGGTCGGCCCCGCCGCTGGCCAGCCGGTCGTGCGCGTGCCGGACGCCGTCCTCGCGTCTCGCCGGGCGGTGATCCCCGGGGCCGCGCCGCCCCGTCACTGGGGCGGCGGCCCGGGTGACGGCCCTCCGGGCGGTCGGGTCGCTCGCGCAGGACCGCACGGGGCCCGGCTTAAGGCGGGTCGTCGGCCGCGCCGCCACAGCTTGCTGGCGCCGGCGTCTTCAGTATTAGTGAGTAGACCAACGCAGTTGAACTGTTGTAAATGAGAATGAAGCCGGTGTCCAAGTCGACGTTTCGCAGCAATAGAGCGATAAGATCATGCATGTGATCACAGGGAACCGATAACGCCACAGGATGTGCAGGTGGTCATGGTGCAGGCGCTGTGATAGCATGGTCTTACTCCAGCCTGACACGAATGTTTCAGTTTACAGGGTGCACAGAGATCATGTTCGTTGATGGAGTGACCTGTTCCCATGTTGTAGTTCCCGGACCAAAATGCCTGCACAATATCCGATCGTTGGCATTACGCTATTTATTGAACGATAAGCACTAACATTCTAACAGGTGCATGAAAGACAGACCGTAGTGTGACCGGTTGGAGAAGCGGAACCACATGCACTCACTTCTGCGTGTAAAAAACGCTTTTTGTGGGTATGCCCTATACGAGCTGTTTTTATTATTCAAGTTATGTCTTAGAAAAATGTGTCTTAAGAGCAGGTTTTGACTCATTCTAATGCAGTTTAGAAAGGTCTGTTGAAGTTTCTTCCTCGCCAAAGACAGGCGGCGTAGATGCTCCGAGCCGTCATAGTATGGGCAGTTTGAGGAGCTCTGTATAGTCAATTATGCTCAATATCAAATCCTTTCGTCATATGTGTGCAAAGGCTGCAGCTCTAAGCGTGCAATACATGGCTAGACATTCCAACCAATAAAATTGTGATGCATGACCAACTTTATTCGTCAAACCACAGACCCTGTTACCGAATGGTTTTCGTGACTTTTCTCAAGATCGTATTAACCGTCCAGTACACGTCCCCGAATGACAGGTTTTATGGCTCTCCGAAACATTTAGGGATAACAGATTATGCAATTTATATTGGAGGGACCGGCTTAACTTGACAGAAGTTGACTGCAGTAGTTGATTTAATTCAGTTCATTAATTTGTTGCAAGAAGGATCGAATGAGTCAACCTGTCCTTTGTGTTCATCCGCACAAGCATTGTGCGCTGCTTGTCTTCAAGGATCCCGGCATCTCCAAATTTCCGTCCTGGTTGAACCCGCGGTTACTCTCGTTTGAGATAAGACCGCGGTCAAAGATTTTGTTAGGCATGAGTTCAGGCATGGGAAGCCTAATATTGTTATTCCTAAAGTGGATCCAGCGTTTCTCTGATTCCTTGTTAATGGATGAGAACCTCACGTGGTCGCGACCGGCGCTTGCTCAAGCTTTTTGTTGCCGACGTTAAGTCACTGAATGTAGTTAGGCCCCGCAGAGTAGCGAGCCTAGGGCGCGCTTTTAAAAGCTTGTCACATGATTTGCATGAAATGCGCGGCAGACATCCATTCTTGTAATGCTTCCCGCGCTATTTCGTGCGGATTCGCCGGTGGGACCGTGCCTCGAGCTTGAGAGATGGAGAGTGGTAGCGGCCCCGCTCCGCCGCGCCACCTTCGGTAATTCGGTTTTCCTGTAATCGCGCCCGAACCGTGCTCCAATGGCGAGATACGGATGACGTGGGCCCCCTGGGCGCTGCCGTTTGTTCGTCCAGGCGGGCGGAGGGTCTCCCTGGGCGATGACGTGTAGGTCCATCTGTCATAATAGTCACTGTTTGTTGCGCCGATGTCCGCTGCGGAGGTCGCCTTCAGGAGTAGCGGTGCGGTCTCTGGCGTGTGTCCGCGGTGACCTGGCTGGAGAGCCGCCTGCAGCCATGTGTCCGGGTGGGTCGAGAGCAAGCCCTCCTCTGCGACGACATGAGCGAGCGCCGCACGATTTGTTTTGATTTCGTCCCGCTATCGGATTTGTTCGTAGAAATGCACCTTTCTCGGTCGCTGCCGTTTCCCGGTCAGCCGAGGTGCGCGTCTATTCGCCGGATGACTTTTGTGGGGTCTGTACGGTGTAACGTATTGGGAGGGCAATCATGTAAGTGCCTGCGTTTTGTTTTCGGAAAGTCGTGGTGTTTCAAGCGTTTGTTATGTACTTGTGCCGTTTGAATGCCGTGTGGGTGCGATCGCGCCGGGCAAGAGATTTTCGTAGACCGATAATACATGTGGCGTTGTAGCAGAACTTGATGAGCATTGTTTGGGTGGTAGGAATCGTGCAGTACTTGCATCACCGAGAGAGATCACGTGGTGTGTGATAAGGCAGACATCGGTGCAGAAAACACATTCTTCATATGCAGCCGTCAACAACTTTCAAGAGAATCCGGAACACACTCAGATATGTGAAAGCCGTCAATGAATGCTCGAAATTTACCTTAGAGCTCGTCCACACATTACGTCATACTCTTTGGCCATTTCCCCCCTTACTCTCTGGTTAAACGCTGGTTACGCCCCTCCCTCCCGTCCTCTAATCACGCTGCGTTAAGCGTAACTTCCAAAAAAGTCACGCCCACCGGGCTCCTAAGTGAGCTAGGCGTGCAAAACGTAAAAACGGGCGTGGGACTTGTTATGAAATGAAACCAACAGCATCATGGTTTAAGGCTGTAAATTATTTCAAAATTATTTAACATGGCTGGCTACCACAACCGAGCGCAACTCTACACTGTCCAGCCTCCCTCTCCTTCCCTATGTCGCGCTTCGGTTACGCTCGAGCAACTCGGCCCCCCCCCCCCCCGTGCGTAACGTGATGCATGGATGGCCACTTATTGATCGCTGCCGCCATGGGAGAGACTTGTCAGGCGTTTGGAACATTTAAAGCAGCAGGTGTTTCTCGCAATGTTTTTCTTGTCGAATGCCAAAATGAGGCCCGTGCAAGGAGTTTTCCCCTTGCGGCCCCACTACTGCCCACATATAACGTACCCGAAATAAAACTCAGTCGAACAACGGAACGGAATGAAGTCGTTGGTCGGCTGTGCACCGCGCTCATGCAAGCATGTCGTGCAAGTGCGTCTTCTCAGAGCAGCAATTTTCGCTCAACGTTTAGCTGGAAATGCATGCCAAGTAACCGATGCCGTGGTATTTGAACAAGACACTATTCAATGTCCTAGTGCTTGGGCCAGAGCCTGGAGGTCATCAGGACGCGAAACACCGCGCATAGCTCGCCGGGGTTGAGTCTTCCCGCTCATGACCCCGCTGTAACCGAACTCAATCTTGAGCTGGCCGGACAAACGCAAGACCTCTTCTGCGCCGAGGCGAGTCCCAGCGGCCGCATCATCGCCAAGCCGGGTCTCCAATCTCCAATTTCCAGCCTGGTCTCGACCGACGGCGGTCCGTTGATCATAAATTAGCCACTCGACGAGAGTCATTGCCGTTCAATTACGGTGCGCCGGCGACCGGCTTGGCCGGCGCGGCGGCGGTCCTGTTGGGACCGGTGCCAATCGTACCGACCCCTCGCGACTAACGAGTGGCCGTGGCCGGCCGGCCGAGAGTGAGCCCCGATGAATGGCGGGATCACGTCCGGCCGGGTCAGCTGAGTGGGGACGGGAAGGGGAGGGAAGAGGGCGCCGAGGTGGGAGGCACCGCACCGCCGGGACGGTGAACAGGGACAGCGGGCTGTGGACACAAATGCATCGCTCACTATCCGCCTGTATGTCAGGTCTGCGCATGAACAGTGTGCAATTCACAGTGTGTCGGTCTAAAAGGACCCTCATTGTCTCATCGAAGATTTAGCAGAGCGAGAAACGTTTACCATGAGTGAATGCTCATGTGTATACGTAAGCATTTTTAGACGTTATTTGCGAAGTTGAGTATCTCATTTTTTCACAAATAATCGTTGGATAGCTGAAAACAATTGTATAAACATATTTTGACCTTTCCTAAGTGACTGCGGTCATGTTTTGACCCTACTTGACTATGGCCAAGCTAAGGCACGTCACGAGACCTTAGGCTGCGAGGTCAGCACATTTTTGTTGTTGAAAATCACAAACCAAAATGTGCATTCCCAAATCACGAGCGTTCCAATGGCATATCGCATTCGTGTATACACATCATATTTCTGTACATATATGTATTGTGTAAATGTCCCGGTTTTGTGACGCATGCAGGTCGCTAACAGCACCCTTACATCCGCATCCTTACGACTACAAATCCCAATACACACTATTCGAACCGAGCTTGGCATATCAAAACTGAACTCAGAGCGCCGAATAACTGCATACGGATGCGATCGTATCAAAATGTTAGACCTGATGGTGCTATTTTTGTCTTCCGATGGTCAATCTGCGCTGCAATGCCGCTGTTTATGCACAATGTCCTTACACAGTATCTGTATCTATATGTGCCATGTCCAATGGTAAGGTGCCGGACTGGTAGCCAGGGGTCCTGTAGGCTAAGAAGTCGTTATATCAAAACTAACCTATGCAGTTTCTGCGAGTGCAAATTGTGTTCCAACGCCAATATAGATGGTGATATGATATTACAAATTTGCTGCTCTAAATAGATTCTAAAACCAAAACCTACCGAAAACCATATCGGCTTGCATCGGTTTTCGGCTCGCCAAATCTTTAGGTGTCCGAAAGAAATCACTACAGCAGAATGGCCTATGAACCAAACTTGCATGTGAACTGGCATAAAGCCTGCATGTTGAAATAAGACACAGCATCGCCTCTTTCCAGCAAAAGTCGTGAACATACACCGCGAAGTGCATACAGGCACTGATTAATGTTAGTATCGCAGGGACGCGTGCAGGGGCGCAGCCAAAGCCTTGGTGAAGGGGATAGGGGTGCACGGGGACGACACATGATTGACAGAGGAACCCCGTTGGTGAAAGGCCCCTCCGCCTAAAATCACCGGATATGACCCACTTGATTTCGAGTGGCCACGATTGTCTATGTTTCTTTTTAAGCCTGTCTTTACCTGGAACAGAAGCTAGAAAATACCGAAAGGTGTGATTTTGTTTGCATTTTGAAGTCAGTAAACCGAAGGAAGCAGGCGTTGAATTACTGTACGGAATATCCGCCGGCACTATTAGTTTTACAATGGTTTGTTGGATGATTTTCATTTCAAACCGATAGAACTCTGAGGTGCTGCCAGAACTTTTTCCAAGTTCTACTGAGATAGAATGACTCCGGTGAACGTGGATTATAGACCGTAATGGGACCACCCATTTGCCTTTACATGGACAACCTATGTTCGCTTGAAAATTTCATCCTTCGGACGGAATCGATTAGCGATAAAAACTACGTAACATAGTTTTGAGCGAGCGCGATCGCGAGTCTCAAACCAAGCCCGTCGTCCTGGCGTTGCAGTCTCCGTGGGCCGCGTCGAGTCGGCGAGGTGAGCACCAGGCGGTGGGCATCGGGCGGGCGAAAATGATAACGCCTCCGAAATTAGTATCTTACATCGCTTTAGAACATAAATTCGTGCGTTTAAAGGCAAACCTCGTATTTCTTTCACCTGTGCGATTTTAGGTCGAGGATAGGGGCGGATACAATTTATGGCCCCACGAACTGATACTAGAATCTGGCGATTAAACTAGAAAAGTAAAGAAAGCATCTCCATTTGTGATGCTGCTGCAACCATGAATCTGTTCAGAGAACAATGCCAGAATAATAGGGATAAAATATTCGCCCCGATCTCATCTTTGAATGATGCCAAAGAATTTTGGAAAAGTTTCGGAAGCACTATTGTACGACGATCGTTCCCGCGCGCGCGACGCCCGCCGTCTGGTGTTATCTGCAGCGGCCAATGCCGTTCGGCTTTACGGAAACGGCAACCACCACCATCGCCCTTCTCGCTCCTAACATTGTGAGCGCGCAGGCTCAAAACTTTTTATGTCGTTTGTTTCCCAAGTCTTTCCTAAAAAATGATGGACCTTCACAGGCCAGCGTAGGCTGGTTTTTTATTTTTTATCTTACGTTGATCCGCTGCGTTGAACGCTCCGGGTGAAATGTCCTGCGGGTGAAAGACTATGGAGGGGGCGCAGAATCGCCCACGGCTAAGAGCCTACAGGCCATTCGGTGCCTGGCGGGGTGCCTACCGGCTGCCATTCTGGCGGCACGGGGTACGCTCTGCTCGTTCGAGGTCCTTAGAGAGATACGTCACACATTGGTGCCCCCCCTTGGTGTGGGACGCCCTCTGACCCGGGTAACTGACCCCAGATGGACGCAGGAGCCCCCATTGACGTAGCAGGATGCGTTGTCGCCGCAGGTGGTCCAAAAGACAACACAGAGACTCCAGCGCGGCTTTAGCCTCTTACTGGTATTTGATGGTCCGGTCCGCAGGTATGGGCACCCAAATACCAGCCAATCAGTGCAAGAGGACCCCAATTCAAAAAGGGCACCCAATCCGGCTGGATGCCCTGATGAGCCGACGACCTCCGCTTAGCCATTTGGGCCCTTCGGAACCTCAAATCCGGCCGTTAATCGTCGGTCCCGGCGCTCGGTACCTAAGTATGGAGAGGGGGACTCTTGCCCCCTGCGTCCACCCCCCCCCCCCCCTTCTTGCCTGCACCACACAACACAAGCGCACACTTCAGGCTGATCGAGTTTTTCAAAAAATTTTCAATCAGGGGGCTTGCACGAAGTTATTTCGGTCATGTCCAAGCCAGAACTCAACGCGCTTATTACATCAACAGAAAACTCTTAACAAAGAGCGACACAGATACATGCTTCACCATTGCGTACCGCAATGTCCTACGGATACAAGCCGAACACGATTTTTGGCAGACTCAGTGGCATAACAGATGATTGAGTCTACCGAAACATAATTTTTGGGTGCATGCATCCTGCTAGAAAGGGGCTTCTTACAGATTCTGGGAGCATCTTTCTTTTGCCATTTGTCCGCTCTTCTTTCCCTTCCAAGTCGTGTGCAACGTCTCATTACCTACATGCGCTCACCCCTTTTTGCCTATATTGAAGCCATATTTGATTTTGCGGACGGTTTCTAACGAAAATTGTGATTGGCTGAGACACAGAATGTTCGCCTAAAAATCAGGAGGGGAAAATTTTGTTCTTGCGTGTACACAGAGACTGCACAAACGAGCGTAAAGGTGACGGCACGACTCAGGCAGACTGAGGTGGAGCCTGTGGACGGCCTCTCAGCCACGTCTCGCGGCCACCTTGTCAGAAGGAGGGGGGGTTGATCCTGGCGCCGTGCCATCAGGACCCACCCCCACCGCCGCCCACCGGCGGCTGCACACCCGGGACTCAGCGCTCATATCGATCTGCCCCCAGGCGATGGTTTCGCCCCCCGCGCCGCGACCGCGTCTCTGCGCCGACCGCCGCACGCCTTGGGCGCTCGGCCCCGGGGCGGTCACGTGACCGCAGCGCGCGCAGCGACGGCGGCGGCGCGGCGACGGTCGGTCGGCGGCCACTGGTGCTGCCGCGGGCCCGGCCGGCTGCGATGGCGGCGGCGGCGGCGGAGGCGGCGCCCGGCCGGCGGCCTGGGGCCGCCCTGCTGCTGCTAGCGCTGCTCGTCGGCTGCTTTCAGGCCACCCAGGCCGGCAACCCGGACGCCAAGCGTCTGTACGACGACCTGCTCTCCAACTACAACAAACTGGTGCGGCCCGTGATGAACACCACTGACGTGCTCACCGTATACATCAAGCTCAAGCTCTCCCAGCTGATCGACGTGGTACGTACCGCTGGAAGGCCCGCGGGCTATGCCAATCGCCACGGCTAACGTCGCGAACACGGACGGCGGAGACCAGTCGGGGCGGGATGCGGCGTTTTGTGAGAAAGCGCCGTCTTAGCGGGGCTCTCCTGTTGTGCGTCATGTGGTCTGCGATACGCAGGCTCCACTTGATTTTGATGCCAACGCTTCGGATAAAGAGGCTAACGAAGCTGGCGTCCCCGGACGTGTAGGTGCATACGCAAGGAAAGGCTACGTGTACGTGGTTGTGTGTGATACGTGAATTGCTCGGTATGGACTACCTCAAAGTGGTGACGAGGCGCCACTTAATTTTCGGAAAGGATCTTCTGCCATCTTGAGCCGATAACAGGAACGCACGCACATGATAGCCCCCGGGGGACGTGTTCCTCCCGCCCTACCACATTTATGATGTGTATGAATGTGAGCGACTGAATGTTGGGTCAACAACTCTAGATCGGCATGTGAAAATAATATCAAGAACATGCGATATTCGATGTTATTTTACGACATGTCAGAAATTGCGTGCACGTGCGGTGCGAAGTTGGACCCTTCAGTTTTGAAATCCCGTATGCGCCCCTGGTTATTACTTAAGACCCCCCCCCCCCCCCGAGAGGCTGGAAAGCTAATGTATAATTTTCATGGTTTTAGTTGTCGCGTGTCACTCCCATTGTTTCTGGAGTTCAGCACGGATATGTTGAGGAAAGGAATTGCCAAATCATGTTCTACCTCGCATTTTTCGGCAGGCCCTGCAGATGTTATTAGACAAGCTCGTGTAAACAATAGGCCATTCCCATTCCAGGATGTTATGATTTTTCATAAGTGGACCCCTAAGCATGAAAATTGCTGTCATGTGTGCATAGCAGGCTCATTTGTTATAGCAGGCTCATTTCCATGACCATACCGAACTCGGCTTCGTGTTTGCAAGCTGTCGAGAAAGACGCGCTTGTCTTCAGGCGAGGCGCGGGCGCTTTCTCGCCGTCTAGGGAGGATCCTCGCCATTCCCCAAACGTGATACGATGTTCTGTCGGCTGAGACGTGGCGGCTCCCGCGGACTGTTCGTGCGGTCGGGCGCGGTTTTTATGCTGCATCAGGCGCGAAAATCAGGCCACTTCCAGTGATGTATTCTGGTGATGGAAATGCAATATTTCGGTACTGTGGAACCAGCAGTTGGTTGTAAACTCGTACCTGCGTCACTGCAGCGGCGCTTGGGCTGGCGATGCCTGGGCTAGCGATGCCTGGGCTTGTTGTACCTGGGCTAGCGGTGCTTGGGCTAGTGGTGCCTGGGCTCGCGGCGCTTGGGCCAGTGGCGCCGGGGCTAGCGGTGCTTGGACTAGTGGTGCCTGGGCTAGTGGTGCTTGGGCAAGTGGCGCTTGGGTTAGCGATGTCTGGGCTAACGGTGCTTGGGCTAGCGATGCTTGAGCTAGCGGTGCTTGAGCTAGTGGTGCCTGGGCTAGCGGTTCCCAGGCTAGCGGTGCTTGGGTTAGTGGTGCTTGGGCAAGTAGTGCTTGGGGTAGTGGTGCTTGGGCTAGCGGTGCTTGAGCTAGCGGTGCTTGGGCTAGTAGTGCCTAGGCTAGCGGTGCCTAGGCTAGCGGCGCTTGGGCTATCGGTGCTTGAGCTAGCGGTGCTTGGGCTAGTGGTGCTTGGGCTAGCGATATCTAACTGTAAGGCGATGTTCTGAAACGAAGGCTGCCGTAAAGAGACGCAAGCTTTGGAGGCAGAAGCCGAACCATGCATGAGGAGACACGAGTCTTTTTCCTCGCTAATTACCAAATGATTGATCACTAATTTCCTCATTAATTGCCAAGTGATTGATCATTAATTTCCTCACTCACTGCTAACTATTGGAAGCTTCATAGATAAATTTTCAAACACTACATGTCGCCGGTAGATGTAACTTTGGTGTTTGCAATTTTTCCCACAGTTGGCGGATTTTACCTCTGCTTCCTCGCCCACTCCGCCAGAAGTTACGCAACATGCATCTGATGGCCTGACATTGGTAATACTATATAAGCGTTGAATCAGACAGCCCAAAACAAACGGGGCGAATTTAATGCTTGATTACCCCCATGCAAAACAGCTGTAGCCCTGTATAGCTCCAGCCATTTAAGGCGCGTTTGCGGACGAAAATTAAGGCATCAGAACAGTCAACCATCAACGATACTACGTAGTGCAGCTCATGCCAGGTTCCCTGCTGCTGCATTTTCTGGGGCTCCGAGCATCAGAGGACCGCTGAATGATGGCAGAGTTTCTGCTGCAGCCTCTGGCCGGGTCGTTTTTGCCGACCCGTCCGCGGAAAGGGCGCCAGGCCGGGACGCGCGGCGCCTTTGATGCCTCGCTGCTGCTGAAAGGTGTGGAAATGGCTGCCGCTGCCATCAGGGCCTACCCACCGATAATGTCCGGGCCGGGATTGATTGAGATAAACGACCGATTCGACCGGCCGCGCCCCGTTTCGGCCGCGTCTGGAGGGCGCACCGGGCCCTGGCGCCGGAACAGCAGAGCGTCACCACCAGAGACGCCGGGCCGGCCTCCGCCGCCGACTGCGCGCAGCTCCATGTCAGGGAGGTGCAGAGTGACTCACCGGCACTGCCGGCTCCCGCCGCCGGCTCCACGTCAGGGAGGTGCAGAGTGGCTCACCGACATCGCCGGCTCCATGTCAGGGAGGTGCAGAGTGACTCACCGGCACTGCCGGCTCCCGTCACCGGCTCCATGTCAGGGAGGTGCAGAGTGGCTCACCTACGCCGCCGGCTCCCGTCACCGGCTCCATGTCAGGGAGGTGCAGAGTGGCTCACCGACACCTCCGGTTCCCGTCACCGGCTCCATGTCAGGGAGGTGCAGAGTGGCTCACCGACACCGCCGGCTCCCGTCACCGGCTCCATGTCAGGGAGGTACAGAGTGGGTCACCGAAACCGCCGGCTCCCGCCGCCGCCTCCATGTCAGGGAGGTGCAGAGTGGCTCACCGGCATCGCCGGCTCCCGTCACCGGCTCCATGTCAGGGCGGTGCAGAGTGGCTCACCGACACCGCCGGCTCCTGTCACCGGCTCCATGTCAGGGCGGTGCAGAGTGGCTCACCGACACCGCCGGCTCCTGTCACCGGCTCCATGTCAGGGCGGTGCAGAGTGGCTCACCGACACCGCCGGCTTCTGTCACCGGCTCCATGTCAGGGCGGTGCAGAGTGGCTCACCGACACCGCCGGCTCCTGTCACCGGCTCCATGTCAGGGAGGTGCAGAGTGGCTCACCGACACCTCCGGTTCCCGTCACCGGCTCCATGTCAGGGAGGTGCAGAGTGGCTCACCGACACCGCCGGCTGTCGCCGGCAGCCAGGGCTGAGGTGCCGGGGCCGCCACGTCCGGCGCCTGCCAAGCAGCTCGGCGCCGACATTTGACATTCATCGAGCCACCCTACGCCAGCCGTGGAAACGGAGCTCATTGAAAATGCCATGAGTGGAGCCTGGTCTGGTTAGATGGTGAAATTCGCAGGAGTGGTGGCCGTCCAGCTGCCACGCTCTACCGGTCAACGACGGCGACATCAGAGTCGCACCGACGCGTGGGTCTACACGGAAATATTTCACTTGAATAGGTATTCAGCAAGGGACGCAATTCGGGTATGCGTAATGCGCCGACAAGGGGCCAAGGTCAATGAACGGAGCGTTGCTAGATGTAGTGCAGCGATGGGGTCAGAATCTGCCGTAATCTCTATGAGCACAGTCTACAAACTGGCCACCTCAGTCAAGACAACACAAAGATGAAGCATTCGTGTTGGCGCCGGAGACTGCCCCGGCCATTCACAAGGCCCTGAATCCAGCCGCGCCGCTCCCACGAGGCGCTCGACGACCCTATCAATCGGCAGTGGCCACCGCCCCGGCCCGCGGACCCGGCCGGCCGCCGGGCGCCAGGTCTGACGGCGGCGGCACATTTGTCGACGGCGGCGCCGCCCCTCCGCTCGACGGGATAGCGGCTCTCCTTCGAGCCATTACGGGCATCCGCAAAACAGCAAACAGCTCGGTTACCCGGAGGGGTGAGCGGCGGCGGCGGCCGGGCCGCGGCGGCAGCTCGTCCCATGTCTCGGCGGCGCGCCGCGATTAATGAATGTTTGCATCCGGTGTCGGCAGGCATGCCAATACGGGCGCGCCGGTGCCGACGGCCGGCGGCCGCGGCTCTCTCGGCGGCGCGACGCGATCGATGCTCAGTGAATCCCCTCAACTGGAAACCCGGCCGGCTGCCCGCCGTGCAGTTTCGAGGAGTTGCACGAGACGCCGCGGCGGCTGCTGGGGCTCGCTGAAGCCGTCCGGCGCTGGACTCGCCGAGATGCGCACTGTCCTAAGGCGACTGCTGCTTCTAATTGGTCTAGTTACGCGTTTCTCCGAGGCCTGGCGACGCCCGTGCCAGCGCAAACCATCCACGAACATGAAAAACCGCCGTAGCGATAGTGTTCTCGGTCTCGCCATGCTCACTTATCATGGTCCAGACATACATACTTTGGAAAACCACCATCGGTGCGGCGTATTGGAAACCAAATATTGCGTTTCGTGAGCCTGTATCAGGAAAAAAGCATACTATGGCTAAGTCTTTCTTAGGTGACTGGCCGCTTGATTTCAACGCATGACAACTGAAAGCTGATAACCAATCAACTTTTTCAACGAGCAATAGGCGTGCACTCCCATACCAGCAAGCAGCAAGGCATGCGATCTATCACTTTTCGACTCTTGGCTCGAAAAGCTTGACTCTTGCGACTTCAGGATTGAATGACACGAATTTGATCGGGAGCAAAATTACCCAGGGTATGGCGACTGGATCAGATAGCTTTGACGGGGTTCCGTTCAGTGTCGGTGACCAAGTTGTGCAACTGTTATGGGCCGGACTGAGTACCCGCCATTGCTGGTGGCCCGTGGCTGAGTCCCCATCGCTGGTGGCCCATGGCTGGGTCCCCATCGTTGGTGGCCCATGGCTGAGTCCCCATCGCTGGTGGCCCGTGGCCGAGTCCC